AAAAGATGACGAATCCAAACAAATTTGGAGGCAACCTCAGACATGGATCTATGCTCTGCCTTTGTGGAAGACTTGGAAACTTTATCTTGCTTCTTGCAACGCCAAGATATAAAGGAACAACCAAATTGAACACACCAACCCGAAGTGGAGCGACGTGTGTGAATAAAACCAACATAACCAGAATCAGAGTAAGCACACAAAACAGGAGAGCCGAAGGAAGAGAATAGCATACCAACATCCCGTATGCCTTGAAGATACCGGAGAGTGTGATGGACTGCAACAAGGTAATCTGTACATGGAGCTTCCATAAACTGACTTAAAATCTGAACAACGTAGGAGATTTCAGGGCGAGTAGGACCAAAAGAGTTCATGCAGCATGCCCCAGTTTGAGATTAACTTTCATAGGAGTGGAAATGGGAGTCAATCGACAAAGTGATGATCTCTGAGAAGATCTAATATATACTTGCATTGACTTAGCAAGATACCCTGGGAATTACGAGTCACCTTAAGACCAAGTAAGTAAGAAAGATATCCAAGGAACTTGAGGCTAAAGGAGGCATCAGTCTTCTGAGTAAAAAAGAGAAGTATCATTGAGACTTTGTTGGAAACCCAGACTGGCGATAGTAGAGTGAAACTTCTCAAACCAGGCCTGAGGTGCTTGTTTGATACCATAGAGAGACCTATTGAGACGACATACTTGATCAGATGTGCCAAGAGTATAACTTGGTGGCCGTTCCATATAGATAACTTCCTACAAATCACCGTGTAAGAATGAATTCTTGACATCTATCTGAAACAAAGGCCAATCCTGACTAGCAGCAACTGCCAATAAGGTACAATCTGTAGACATCTTAGCCACACGAGCAAATGTCTCACTATAATCAATGTCGAGCTCCTGCGTAAAGCCTTGGGTGACTAACCGAGCTTTATATCGATCGACTGAGCCATCAAGGTGAATTTTGAAGGTATACACCCATTTGCACCCAAAAATAGAAGTGTCCCATGGATGAGTTACAAGAGTCCATGTATTGTTGGCATAAAGAGGATCTAGTTCATGCTTCATGGCACGTTCTCAGACTGGATCACATAGAGCCCGTCTGTATTGCGTCGGGACAATAACCGAGTCCACCCCATGAGCAACATAGTCATGAAATTTAGGAGGTGGTATACCTTTCGTGGAGCGCAATGAACGGAAAGGAGGAGGTGGAGGTAAGCTGATAGGTGATGATGAAGCCGATGACTTTAATCCGGAGGACGAAGACGAGTCTGTGGGGGGCAGATCAGGTTGAGAGGGAATATGCGTAACTGCAGGAAATTGAGGATCATCACCCTCATCACTCTCAGAAGAGATAGGTAAGGCAATGTTAGGGGATGAAGGGAAAAATGATGAGGAAGAGGACAAAGATGACTCATAGAACATAAGATGTTCAAAAAAGACAACCGAACACGCAATCCGCATACGTTGTAAAATCGGATCATAGCAAAGATAACCCTTATGAACATCACTATAACCCAAAAAGACACACTTAGCACTTTTAGAGGATAATTTTCTACGTTCTATCTTGGGAAGAAGCACAAAACAGAGACAACAAAAAATGAGGAGACGAGAGTAGTCAGGATGAAGAGAGTACAAAGCAAAAAAAGGACTCTTATGACCATGAACAGGAGTAACTTGGTAATTTATAAGAAGAACAGCAGTAGCCACAACTTCAGGCCTAAAACGAGGATGAACATGGGAAGCAAGTAAAGCAGCTCGAGTAAGTTCAACCACATGTCTGTTTTGACAGGTCGCCCAAAATGTGTTTGTATCATCTTGAGAAAATCAATTGCTACAGATCGAAGTTCAGATTTTAGGTGAAGAAAGTAAACCCAGGTAAAACGAATAGCATGGTCTACAAATAGGGCAAAATAACAGAAACCAAGACGAGGTCTCGAAGGAGAGGTTCCCCATATATCAGTGTGAATGATATGGAATGGCTCAAAAATAATAGTGGTACTAGAAGGAAATGATATACTGAATGTTTTAGCTTCCACACAGCTAGTACATGAATGTTTGACAGAAATACCAACATTATTCTTGCCAAGTAAAGATTGTTTGAACATAGTAGTCAAACGAGTTGAATGAGGATGACCTAATCGAGAATGCCAAAGACTCCATACATTATCTAATTGACTCGAAAAACTGACGGACAAAGGATTACTAACAGACCTATCAGAAGTACTATTGACGAGAGATGAAACTGGTGAGTGACGAAGTTCCTCCAAGTAAAAAAGTTTTCCCTCCTTATTCCCTTTTCCGATATGCGTCCCTGTCTTCAAATCCTGTACGGAACACCCAGACGGTATAAAAAAACAGAGTAACCTTGTTCAGTAAGTTGACCAACAGACACTAGATTGGGAACTAGATTGGGCACATGAAGTGTACTTGTCAAGGCTATGAGGATCATTAACAGTACCAATTCCACAAACCCCTAGTTGATTGGCATCAGCTACTTGTAATGCCATATTTTTAAATGATACAATATCTCGAAGATTATCCACATCACAAGTCATATGATTGAAACAAGTGGAGTCGAGAAGCCAAGGATTATTTTTACATGAACCTTGGATTGTAGCAAAGGCAATACTCATAGCAGTAGGTAAAGAGCGTTGAATGCCTACGTTTACCATATGCTCAATGTCGGTTGCAGAAAATTGTGGGCCAGAGCTAATGCTAGTTTCATGTGGATGGTGAGCAGTGGGTGGAACAGATGGACTCGGACCCGCAATAGCATATGTCTCTTGGTCCTGAGATCCAAGTGCTACAGCTGGTGGATACGGCCCAAAATTATTGTGTGCGGCCTGCCCAGGTGGAAATGAGGACAGTGGGTCAGGCCCACGTTGATTGACTGCTGGTGGAAGCATCCCGTGGGGGCAATTAGGAGCTAAATGCCCTTTCTGTTCACCGCCATTCACAGTATCGAGACCTTAGGCTCTCTGTCGCGTTCGGTAGTCGATCACAATACGACCTCCCTGTTTGCAATACACACATAAGTTGTGGCTGCGAAAATGTTTTTGTACATGCCCCTTCTCTAGACGGTATTGACATTCAAGATTGATGGCCTAGATCCTCCTCTGGAATTGGGGGCGATCAACGAAAAAAACAGAGGCATCTACAGAGGAAAAAAAAACCTCCTCGGGTCCTTGACGAAGGTCGAAGTGAGCCTGAGTCCGAAGACGAGTTTCTTCCCTGATTAGCTGACCAAGGATCCCATCAAACTGCATATCTTCTTTGTTCAAGAAGCTGATCGGATGGATTCGAATTCTGGCCGAAGTCTTAAGAATTGTAAGTGACGGGTATGTTGTCTCTCCTTGAGTGCATACTCAGAAAACGACAGCTTGTGGCCTTAGAGCCACCGTCAATAGATCGTGGTCAGTCCACAATTCATGTGTAAGAGCGAAATATTCAGTTATCAAGCGATCAGCTTGTTCTAGACGGGCTAACGCTTTTTGAAGCTCGAATTGTCTGGCTGCTTTAACTGTGGAGTAAGTAATAGATAGATGCCGCCACATTTCATTTGTTGTCGGGAATAGATGAAGACTAAAGCACATCGAGGCATCTACTGATCCCATCAGCCATGCTCGAAGCCTTGCATCATTCTGTTTCCACGTTGAGATTGCTTGTGCATAGGCAGTCTCTTCAATTTTTTAGTACTCTCGTCGAGAATACCGAGAAGACCGCGACCTTCTACAAATACACAGAATTGACACTCCCATAGAACGTAATTCGCTGAGGAAATTCATACGGTAGGTTTCTCCATTGATCCGAGCTCCATTGATCAAGACTCTGATACCATGTTAATCTATACGGAAATAATCAGGCAATAAACGAAAAGACATAACGAGTTTACGTGGTATTCCTGGAATGCCAGGACTAATCCACAGAAGAGTTGGAACTCTTCAGGATACTAATCAGATTATTTTTCTCTATACCTCTATAGCTTACACTCGTTCCTCTATATACAAGAAGGGAGGATGAGAAGAGCTAGTTGTTACAAGAAGAGGAAGAGCTAGCAGCCTAGCAGTTACACGAGAATGAGGGATTAAAAGAATATGTACAAATGGGCTTAAACTCAACAAACGAGATCCACTAACACAAATTACATATAATATTAATATGTATAGAGTTTCATACATCATCCTAGCATAATGCTACGTTCAAAAGTTGGCATCAATTATAAAATAGTATAAATTTATAATATAAATATTCAATGCTATTGGTTTTTAGATTCATTTTTCTCAAACTACATGTATGAAATTTATTATGCGTATGTTTAGTACGTGAAGCATAAAAAATGAGGCAGCTCTAAAATGTTACATGGACAAAATAAAGAGAATACAAAATTTTGTGATTGTGGAAATCTTGCTTGATTCTCATTGATGAGTCTGTTAACTAATATACCGATTTTGGAGATATAAATAAGGTGCACGTAGCAACAGTTTGCTAGGCACTTCCCACAAAGATAGGAACAAAAAATTAGTGGAAAATAATAAAAGAATAATAACGAAAAATCATTTAGTCTCTAATACGCCCCTCAAGACGGAGGACGTGTCAACATAGCCGATCTTAGACCGAAGAAGCAGAAAGCGAGTCGCGAAAAGAGGTTTGGTGAGAACGTCGGCAAGCTTGTGGGAAGTAGGAATGTAGCAAACAATAAGGCGCCCGGCTTGGACCAATTGACGGACGAAATGATAGTCCAAAGCCAAATGTTTCATTCGAGAATGAAAAATTGGACTCGAACAAAAATAAGTGGCGCCGAGATTGTCTGAGTGGAGAGTTGGGGCAGCCTCGAGAGGATGGTGCAGCTTGGCAAGGTGGTTTTGGAGCCACTCAATTTCTGCACTAGTGTGAGCAATTTACCGGTACTCTGCCTTAGTATTGGAACGGGCCAAGATACAACAGATAGGCAGAAGTAGAAGACTAGTCGTCGAGGTTCCTAGCCCAGTCGAAATCGCCAAAGTCAGAGAGTGAGCGGCTGGGATGGACGGTAGATGGCGAGACCATGATTGAGTGTACCAGCAACATAGCGGAGTAATCGCTTGACGCAGTGCAAGTGAGAAGCCTTAGGAGAATGAGTGAATGGCGACAGCTTGTTAACTGATAAGGCTATATCAGGCTGTGTGGAGAGGGAAAGAGCAGTCATAGACGCCATAGGAGTTGGAGCAGAGGCATCATCTAGCATATTAAATCGTTGAAGTACATCCTTCATATACTTATGTTGGGAGAGCAGGTAGCTAGAGTCAGTGGGAATAAATTTAATCCATAGAAAGTAATGAACATCACCCAAGGACTTCAAGGAGAACCAATTGGACAAAGCCGCCCGAAAGACATATAGTAGTTGATCATTGTTCCCGGTGAGCAGCAAGTCATCTGCATAGACAAGAAAATAGAGCAGCATACCATTCCGATTGTAGACAAACAGTGCAGAATCTGAAAGAGTCTTCCTGAACACAAACTCAAGGAGAAAGTTGCTAAGATCGGTGTACCACGCCCGAGGAGCTTGGCAGAGGCCATAGATGGCACAGTTGAGGCGACACACATGATCCTTGAAACCCGAAGCCTGCTGCATGTAAACTTCAAACCCTGAAGGAAGGCATTGTTGACGTCCAATTGAACAATGGACCAGTTGCTAGGGTGAAGATAATGCGGACAGTGACCCCTTGACCAATGAGCCATTAAATAAATCCTTTGACCACCAAACGCATCTTAAACCAAGCAATGAAGCCATCAGGTTCTCGCTTGACGCGGAAGACCTAACGATTGCCCAAGACGTTGTAATGAGGAAGGCGAGGAACAAGATCTCAGGTGGCCTTGAGAGCGTCCGACCATTCTGGGTAGAGGAGGGCCTCTTTGACAGAGGCAGGTTTGAGTGGTGGCGGAGAACAGGTGATGGTCGTCGAAGAAGATGCAGGGCAGCTAGCAGTTGTGTACAACAAACTTTTTGGCTTGAAAATTCCATGTTGGGCCCGAATTTCATGGAGCGAGCCCGTTGGTGAGGAGGGGGGAGGACGGGCTGTTGAGGAGGCCCCGAAGGCGTTGTGGGGGCTGAGTATAAGGCCCAATGTCCAAGGAGGAGCTAGAAGTTTCGACGAAGAAGCTTTAGTAGAGGGAGGCATTGTCGAAGGGGGGTTGGACAAAAAGGAGGCCGTGGTGATTTGTAACGAGTTGGGTCAGGCATCCTGCAAAGTAGTGATAGTTGGACTGGAGTCCAACAGCCAGGCCACAGGTGTGGGTGGGGCGGCAGAAGCAGAAGCGATGTAACCTGGAAAAACATCTTCCACAAACTGAACATGGCGAGACAAAAAGAGACGATTGGTGAGGGGATCAAAACAATGATAGGCACTCCTTATTGGTGGAGTAAGGACAAAGCCAAGGATAACATAAACACCCAAAAATATGGAGTTTGTGATAATTCGGGGTTTGATTAAAAATAAGAGTGTAAGGGATTTGACCGCGAAGAGCCGAGGAGGCCATAAGATTAATGAGATAAATGTTCATCGCAAAAGCAAAGGACCAAAAAAGAAAGGGAAGATTGGCATGATAAAGAAGAGTGATACCAGTTTTGACAAGATGAAGATGCTTGCGTTCGGCTAAACCATTGTGCTCGGGAGTGTGAGGAGGAGTAAGCAAATGAATGATGTCGTGGGCTGGTATTGTGGAACAAAGCTTGTGAAATTCGCCACCACCATCAGTGTAACGAAGAATGGTGGTCGAAAAATAATTTTCAAACATGGTACGAAAAATCAAGAAAAACTTGAAGAACGTCAGATTTGCAACGGAGAAGATAATACCACGTGTAACGAGTGAAATGGTGTACAATGATGAGATAATAATGAAAGCCATCAATAGATGAAACAGGGGCAGGACCCCAAACATCAGTATACAGAAGATCAAAGGGTCGAGTACTAGAAAGAGACAGAAACACCAAAAGGAAGTTTGTGATATTTGTTCGAAAGACAAGCATCCCAATGACTAATGGTAGATGATGAGGAAACTGGAAGTGAATGAGAAAAAAGTAAACTGCGGAGAGACTGGTGAGACGGATGACCAAGCAAGGAGTGCCATGAGTTTGTGGAAGTGCAAGTGGTTACTAGTGCCATGCGAATTGGTTCTACTTCCGGTGGTAACTCATACACATCACCTCTCTGTTCCCCTTTCAACAGTTGCGCCCCCGTGCAAAAATCCTTCACACAAAATGAGTGGCAAAAGATTTCAAGGACACTGGATCAGTACGACATAATTAAGCTATAGAGATATGATTTTTTTTATGGCGGGAACATGTAAGACATCTTGTAAAGACAGACAGTGCGAGCCAGTAAAAAGATGAGTCGTGCCAATATGAATTATTCACAAACCTAAGCCATTACCAATAATGATTTCAACGGGGCCTGATAGTCGGAATAAAGGGATAAATTTCCAAGATCAGCAGTGACATGATGAGAGGCTGCAGAATCCTATAACCATGGATTGTGCGGAGTGGGCTGATTACCAACAGATGGCAGAGTCGATGGAGCAGCATTGGTGAAGTGGGCTTGGGCTTGATGGGCTTGAAGATGCGCCTGACGAGCTTGGGGGAAAAGTTGAAAACACTGGCGAACAGAAGGGGCTGGGCTTGAAAAATACTATTGCGAGGGCCAGAAGCTCGCTGGAGAAGACCAGGAGGCCCGCGTTGTGAGGAGATTTCATTGTAGAGCTGCTGCTGGTGAGGATTGCATTGTGGGAGAGGATGAGACTGGCCGTCGTGTCTCTGTCCTTGAGTGTAGAAAGCAGTCAGAATAGTGGTGTTGTGCTGTGCTTTCATATCAGCTTCATATTCCACCAACAAGTCAACTAGATCTTCCAAAGTGAGACTAGGCTCTCATGCACGAACAGCGGCCCAATAGGACTTGTAATCATCCCCCACCCCTCTGAGATAGTGCACAACAAGATCAATGTCTTTCACTAGCTCCCGAATGAGGGTGAGTTCTGCAGCACCAGCCTTGAGATCGTTGACGAAGGTGAGGTATCTCGATCTCGTTTGGTTGTTTTCCCAAGCTTTTCCTTCAGATGGATGATGTGCGACTGTGCATTGCTAGCATAAAGATTCTCTAGAATCAACCAAGCATCACGCGCGGTCGCATGGGCGGAGACAAAGGAGTAAATTGATTCATCAATCGAGCATCATAAAACATGAAGAATAAGTTTGTCTTCCCTGAACCAATTATGATAGGCAAGATTGGGAGCAGGAGCAGCGTCCACTGTGATCGATTGCGGAGGAGCGACTTTGGTGCCGTCAATGAAACAATTCAGATCAAGTCCCATGAGGAGAGTTTCAATCTGGGATCTCCAGGATGCAAAGTTCGTCCGTGTGAGCCTTAGGGGAAGTTGAGCAGCCGGATTGAAGGTGATAATTGAGGTCTCCGAATTGTTGGAAGCAACAGTGGTAGTCTCATGTCATGATGATGATGATACAACAAGGAGGAACAAAAAATAAGAAAGAAATCGAGAGGTTTAAAGATGGAATGAGTCGATTCTAACTGATCATTGCTATCTCTGATACCATAAAAAGAATACAAAAATTTGTGATAGTGGGAGCGGATCAGGTCAGTAACTCTATGGTTAGTAACTATGAGTAACATGTCCACATCAGCATGACATCGGTAGCCTCTCTCTTATGGAAAGTCTTTTATCTTTTCCCCTTTAATCTTTAACGGACGATTTCTCTTTCATTTTAAGTCGAAATTTAATTTTTTTGCACAGATAAATTAGATTAAATATGCTCTTCAAAATTATATCCACTTCAATATATTTTTAGCACAAAAAAAAATTGAATAATTTTTTACCAGTCATTACCATATGGTATGCTCCAATTTAATACCATATGGTAAGAAAGCGTACCATGATGGTATGAACATACCAATATGGTAAGAAGGTTGAATACATGATAGTAGGAGTATATTAACTGTCATTTACGACTTTCATCATTGTTTACTACAAGTTACCAATCACATACCATAATGGTAAAGTATGGTAATTTTGGATCCAGTATTTTTTTCACCCAGAAATTTATAGATCCAATAGATCATGATGAACTCGTTCCTTCTGAGCAAACGTTTTCAAAAACGACTTCAAAATGAAGAAGTTACCATATGGTATGTAGTTGGTAAAAAAAAGTTTCTCGAAATATATTGAAAATTGATCTCATTTTGTAGAGCACAACGAATTCGTTCCATCTGTGCAAAAAAAAATAAATTGAAATCCGAGTTAGAACGAAGAAGGTAAGAGCCAATTAAGAAAACTAGGGAAAATAAAATGTCTTTAATTGACAACCCTTAGATCTTAATTTTCTGGACCCACTTAAATTTAAAGGTCCAAATTTAGTTACTCATAGATTAGTAACCATTGGTTACTGACCCTATCCTAAGCCTGTAATAGTGGAAATCTTGCTTGATTCTCATTGATGAGTCTGTTAACTAATATACAGATTTTTGAGAGACAAATAAGGTGCACTTAGCAACATATTGCTAGACACTTCCCACAAAATAGGAACAGAAAAGTAATATGTATACGGTACTATGCGAGTATGTAACACTATGATTGAAAGTTGCAATTCATAAAATTAAGGAATTAAGTTTTCGTATTCTGCCCATGAACCCTCCACGAGATGGAGTTCCCTAATTCTCAATGTCAAGTAATTGTTGGCTTTATGATGATAATGAGAATGACCAAAACACATCAACGGGGTTGTCAACCCGCGGCTGATCCGGATCCGGTCGAGCTAATGGGTCAAGGGTTAATGGATCACCTGGTTTAGCCCAGAAATATGGAAAGAATCATTATATTGTACTTATACTTATAAATTATATCAAATATCATCTAACATATAAGTTATAAACATATAATGTTACACCAAAATAGCATATCGTAAAGATAGATTCAACATATAGTGAAAATTCACACACACTTATATAACATCAATATTCAAATGTTAAACTTAGAATTCCAAAGATTGAATTAGGCGAAAAGAAAAATCGGAAAAAAACGCATTTCGCAAACCAAAGACAATAATGATCCAATTTAACCTCCAACCCGGTATCTTGTAACGATCAACCTGGCGGATGCGTACGGCCCATTTTTCTCACTGGATTATGATCAAAATGGATCGAGCAGCGAGTTGACAACTTTGCATCAACCCCATTATTTATTCAGAGCTCTGAGCCATGTCTCTAGCTTCATATAAATATACTTCTATACGGCATTGCTACAATGACTAGTGTCTCTATCATGACGTATCTGCAGAGACGACAAATAATGCAGTGTACAAATTAAATAAGGAATACAATCCGCAAAATAAGATTATTAAATATATATACTTTGAAAACCGCAATGCTTGGGTTATAAAAAATAAGAAAATATTAGTGGCTTTCTGAATTGAAGTCCACAATTGACTTTTGTTGGGAGATTCTTTGTTTAGATTGTATTTTCGGTGTTTTATTATTACGTAACAGGTTGCTGACAATATGTTCAAATGTGTACGTACCAACGTGTGACGGTATGAGAGATTAACTGACAATATATAATTGCACTACATTATGATTTGTTGTAACCATAATTGTTGTTTCCCTATTATGATATTAATATAAGGGTTAGTATATTTGTGTGCCCTGACTTTTCTCAATAACTTCTTGACCAATTTTTCAAATAAATAATATCGTGACCTCAACTAACGACCCTAAACTTTATTAAATTTGTCAAATCCAAGAGTTTTATGTTATATTGGACGGTCAAAATCATTGACTAACGGTCAACCCGTTAAATCACTGCCACATCAGCATACACAAACTTAAAAAATCAGAAAAATCCACATAATCTCCAATTTCATATTTTTCCTAATTTTTCCTAATTAATTAATATCATGCATTATAAAAAATCTTACTGGAGAGTTGTTGCATGTTCGAGGAGGTGTCATCTTTCAGGAGATTACTAACTTGTACTCTCTGTGTTTTGTTAATTCTAGTTGCTATTTATAAGTCGTGTTAGTAACCGGATTGCTTAATTGGTAATACGGAAAGTCATTTTATTAGGACCTTTGTGGGCTTTGATCTAAAGAATACAATAAATACTTTCTCCATTTACGCTTTACCATTTCAAAATTCCAGCCTTCTTACACATTCATGTCAACAGCCACCAATCAGATTTTTTCATAAATTATTTTTCTTTTCATGTCAATTTATTATTTTTCCTTCCTAGATCTAACCGCCTAAATTAAACAACACTTTTTT